GATTATTCGAAAAGGTAATTCTTCTACAAATTTTGTGCACTTTTCATTTATCCTAGTAGTTCAAATACTGTGGTTGTATTTACAAACAATATGAAAATAATAGTCAAAGGTTCTAAAATCTGAATAGCACTATAAATTTTGATTTTTTTTTTTTTTAACTGTACCTAATTTTGGTGCTTCAGGCTCTGATAAATATACTTCCAAACACCCTTCTCTTGATAGATGAACAGGCCCAAACTGTATAAAATTCAAAGTTTCCAGTGTTACTTACTGCAAACTTGCCCTTTCTTGTGTGTATTACACTCTTTCTGTCTCTTTCCAACTTTTAAACACTCCACCAAATCAGTTTCCATCTGCTCCTGGCATAGCTCAAAACCAAGAAGGATTAATTGACAAGAGTAAAGGCAAGAATGTTTAAAATCATCTTTGAACTTTATCTAAATTTGGCACACTGCCTTAAATAATTTAGACATCTTCCCCCTTTTTAAGTTATCAAATGCTATCTTAATGTCTTAGCTTTATTTACTAGTCAACTAGAAGTTTAAAGGAGAATGGGAAGACATTATACAGTTTTATCTGTTGACTTTTTGTATATCTCTGGAAATGTGATCGCCGTGGATATTTGTTTTTATATGATTACTAACCTTATTTTGCCTGACTGCCAGCTGTATGAAATATGTTGTCACCTATAAAAGAAAACTGAAATTCTTTTAATATTAATTTAACCCATAGCAGTCAATAAACATAAAAAGGCAGATTGATTTCCTCTACATTTTTTCCTTCCAAGGTTACATTGCACCATGGAGTGGCAGGTTTTACTCATTATGGGACACTGGGTAAGTGCAGATAAGTTATTTGCCCTCATACTGCTTTAAAATACCTTTTTTCCTCTGTTACATGTCAGTACTTGGGCAGCGTTTCTTAAGTGTACCTAGCATATACTAGTTCGGTAAATGTTGACTCCCTCGTAATTTATCTTTGTTTAAAATTCCTGTTTAGAATACACCTTTAGTATGATACATGTAAGTCATGCATTTCTTTTCTATAGAGTCAACTCCTTATTTTAGTTTTGTTTGTCAGAACATTTAGGGTAACATTTGTGCCCTTTTAATGATTGATTTTTGTTTTTAACCATTATATTGTTTCCATCTTCTAATAATATTTAATTTTTAACTCTTAAGGTGCTATGTTATAAGCCCATATGCCATAGATACGAAGGAAGAATTTAAGTTTTTTCCTAATACCACGTTATCCTAAATTCCTTGATAGTTTTAATCTATCACATACACTTGAGGATACTTTTTGCATTTTTGAAGAGTGCTATTATAAAATGAATTAATAAAAATTTTGGTTTTAAGTTAGACATCTAGTTCAATAAAACCTGTCTCTCAAATCTTTTCCTAAGGATAAGAGTATACGCTGCTGATGGTAATTTATCTTTGTTTCCGCTTTCCGCTTTTCTGTCTTCTTTGTTATTCCCTATGTGGCCTAATAAATCTATTAATAAAAAATTTATTGACTGGGCCTGCCCTTTGATGTGATACCAAAAGGGTTCATGCCCAGGTCTAATTAAAAGTGTAAGCAAATTGTTTATAAATGACTGAAGCTGACATTTAGACACATATTTCAAGAGATCGTGGATCACCAGAAAGTTTGGGGGAAATCCCTGGTTGTAGACAGTTACTCTGAATAGGTCAAATTACAAGGTCAAACTTTTGTAAGTAATTTATTTGACTATTTTGGGATCCCAGGGTATTTCAGGAGTAATTTGTCCTCGCCGTTTCCCTCGCCTACATTTGCATCATTTTGTTAGGAAATGTATTATGGCAATATGGTACCTTAACAGATAAGGTATTTCTGCTAGTAATAAGTCCAAAAGAATGAAACTTGCTGGTACAAACGTAGGAGATGGTAAGCAAAACTGCAGGAAATTCCTATTTGAGCAAAGATTTTTGTATTAAAAGTCAGAAACAACACTTTTATAACTGGTTTTGGAGAACTCTTCCAGTATTAGGGGTGGCATATTGGTTTTTAGTTTTACCCATGTAGACTAGATTTATTTCTAGTTAGCAGGTTACATTGGAACATACTTTTAAGCAAGAACGGGTGGGGAATAGGAACCATATTTACAGTCAAAGGAAATTTCTTCATCTAAAAGGAACTCCTTCCTATTTTAATTTTAAACAATATTAACTTTTTAAATACCAGGTATGCAAAAATACACATTCCAATTATTGCATCAGTGTCTGAACATCAACCTACGACTTGGGTGTCTTTCTTCTTTGATCTACATATTCTTGTGTGTACCTTCCCAGCAGGCCTATGGTTCTGCATTAAAAATATCAACGATGAAAGAGTATTTGGTAAGAGATTTTTAATCAATATTTTGATTTGGAACAATTGTTTATTTTCTTTATTGAGATTATCACTTTAAAGTTTTATTTCTCTTTGCTGGGGCTATGCATATTCTAGATAAATTTCTTCTCTTATTTTGTGTGTTTAGCCAAGAAAAATTCTGTGAATTTGCATTATGTATATACTCATTAACTGTTTTAATTGAGAACTAGTATATAAATTTTTCATTCAATTGATGATGTTTTCTGAGAGAGTAATGTTATTTATAGACCATGGCTGAGAATTGGAAATTGTAACTTTGTTGACAATATAGTCTTTATTTTCTATATTAGATCTGATTACATAGGAATAAGTTCGCAGGGGCATCCATTGCCCGAATTTCAGTGTAAACAGGTGTAAAATTTCATCTTTAAGTAAACACCCTCTTCACTGATAGATTTGTATATATTTCCAACTAAAGACAGTAATACAAACTATTTTAATGACATTTGAAATATAAGTGGGCAAAATAAGCAGATACCAGAGACCTTTACAGGATTCAGTCATCGCAAGAAGTATATTGTGGCTGTTTTGCACATGTTAAAACATGAAACTTTAAAAAGGTTTTTAACATGCACAGGGTCACACAATCAAATAATTTGTAGTACCAGGACTTGAACCTGTACAAGTATGATACATGAACCATGAGTGACACTCAAGTTACTCTTCCAGAGTAAAGTCAGGAGAGAAAAATAGCACTTGTGCAAGTTATATAACGAAGGATGGTATTCCTTCTTGCCCTGTTTATATAGATCAGTGGACTCTGGATAAGGCCGTATTAATATCCCGTCATTAAGAAGGATTTAGCTTAAACATTTGCCCACCTCATTACTCAGCAATCCCAATCCCAGGTATATACATACCCAAGAGGAGTGAGTGCTATGGCCAACAAAGGACATGTTTAAGAATGTACATAGCAACTTTATCCATAGTAGCCCCTAATTAGAAACATTCCAAAGATTATCAGCAGTAGAATAGATTAATAAATTCTTACTTGTTTGTACAATGTAGTATAACACGCAATTAATCAAAGAATAGCATGGGTAGAGACACCTGATGGGCAGTTCAATCAGTTGAACAACCAACTCTTGATTTCGGCTCAGGTCATGATCCCAAGGTCATGGGATCCAGTCCCCCATTGGGCTTTGCGCTGGGCGTGGAGTCTGCTTAAGATTCATTCAGTTCATTCTCTCTCTCTCTTTCCCTCTCTTTCTCTCCCTCTCCCCCCTTCCATCCCCCCACCTTCGTGTGCACTCTCTTTCTCTCAAAACAAAAACAAAAGAATAGCATGGGTAAATAAAGAAAACCAATACAGAAGAGTACTTTTTTAATATAATTTCATTTTTAAGAAGTTCAAGAATAAAATCTGAATTGATGTTTTAGAAGTCCAAATCCAAATAGTGATTACCCTTTTTGGGGTGGGGGGGGAGGTGCGATAGCAGCTATGAAGTGGGAAGAGGCATGAGGGTTCCTTCTGAGGGAGATATATACAGGAGTCCTATATTTTGGTATTGGTGGTAATTACATAGATGTGTGGGTATGTAAAAATTCATTGAGCTATACATTTAAGGATATGGTGTAATGAATCTATTTTTTAGTGAAAAAATTAGTTTAAAGTGAGATACGAGTTCTTAAATCTCTTGACAGTAACTTTACAAGTTCCTCCTTTGGTTAATAAGTTATATTCTTCTCATCCCATTCTTTTTTTTTTTTTTTTTTTTTTTTTTGTGAGAGGCCAAAAATTGAGAGGGGCAAAGAGATCCCATGAGGGGGAGAGAGAGAGAGAAAGAGAGAGAAGCAGAGCTCACCTGAAGCAGGGCTTGAGATCACAACAGGATCATGACTTGGGCTGAAGTCAGATGCTTAACCAACTGAGCCACCCAGGCCCCTCATCCTATTCTTACTTTAAAGCAGGCTGTATACCAGATACTTGTACTGGCTTTTCATTGACTATTTGCTTCTGTAAACTTATTGAGCCTAATAATATAATTCACCCAATATGTTTTCATCTGTCAGCTGTGGATTTCCTAATATGTGATGCTATCGACGAATAATGAATTGTCTTCTTTCCCATAATTAAATTTAAATCATGATACATTTGCCTAAAACTGTTGATATGTAATGTTTAGTCCCTTTGATTTACAATTTCTAAATATGACTATTGAAACAGTCAGTCAGTATTAATCAGTTTAAAAACAATTAGCTCTTTTATGAGATGTTTGTCTCTTTTTAACTTTGGCTTATTTTTAGCTTTGGTAGCATTAAATATTGAGTTGAGTTTCCTGTGAGCATCTTCTGAAGTGTCATAAGAGAACTTGTCTTTGCAGTTGCTCTGTATGCAATCAGTGCTGTCTATTTTGCTGGAGTGATGGTGCGGCTGATGTTGACTTTGACTCCGGTCGTCTGTATGCTATCTGCAATTGCCTTCTCAAATGTTTTTGAGCACTATTTGGGGGATGACATGAAAAGGGAAAACCCACCTGTGGAAGACAGCAGTGATGAGGATGATAAAAGAAACCCAGGAAATTTGTATGATAAGGTGGGAATCTAAGTAAGGCCTTTAAAATTTTTAAGTATTTTATGTTTTCTACCATGGTAAAAACTATACATATTAAGAAAAAGGATTTAGACAGCCTGTGACATTTCTAGTTGGTCTTGACTGTTTGCCTCAGAATTTGAATCCTGTTTGGTCTTTTAGCTTGAAGAATATATGATGCAATCACAGAAGGAATTCTCATTTCTTATTGTCAGGTTTTCTCTAAAACTCCTCCACTTTTAAGAGGAAAAACCTTGTGCTCTATTTAGTTACATAAAATTTTGCATTTCTGAAACTATGTGCACCAGTGCTTCTCCTTCAGATCCTTATTCAGTGTAAACTTTTTAAATATTTGGTTGATTGAAAAGTAAAATAAAGGGAAGAAAGCCTCTAGTTTGTTAGCAACAAGCGGTTGGCCAATATGATGTAATTCACTTTTAACCTCTCACATAACAGCAGGAGTATATTTGATTCAGGAATAGAAAAGACTTGTAAGAATTAGAGCACTTGCTTTGGATGACTGTTTTTGGGGTTTTTTTTTGTTTTTTTTTGTTTTTGTTTTTTATCCCAAGTTGTTACTTATTTTCACGAGGGTCGGGGGAAAGAACCTTTCATGAAAAAATACGGAATGCTTCAGGAATATGCATGTCATTCGCACAGGAGTTATACTAATCTTCTCCATGTTGTTCCAGTTTTAGTACATGTGCTGCCGAAGCAAGCACTTGGATGACATATTAAACTTTACTGTTTGAATATTAACTAGGTTTTTAAATACCAATAACCAGTGAAACTTCCTCATGTAAATATTAACTTTAAAAGTCTTCTTTTCATTATTATAAGTCCAATTATAACTCATACAGATTTGTATTAATAAAGCACATTCTTTTGTGGTGGTGGTTTTGTGTTTTGTTAACTAGCCTTGCAGTTGAGAACGTATGAGTCTGTTCTTTCAGTTTTGGGTGGGATTTTTTGGTTGTTTTCAAAAATGTAATCTTCACAAGTCTGTTATTTTGGGGTTTTGGTAATTAGAAGATGGATTTTGATAATGCAGGCTTGTCTTATACTGAAGTCCTGTAGATCTGAATTTTAAGTGGACATTGTCATTTTCAGGACAAGAAATTCACATTTTCTAAGAAAAGGTTGCCAGAATGAGGCCTTTTGGTTATCTCCTTTGTTTTGTTTTGTTTTGTTTTGTTTTGTTTCATTTGTATTTAAGTAAAACAGAAGGGCACCTGGATTTGAAAGCTTCTTACTGGAGATATTTTGCCCTGTAATCAGCTCCTGGAATGGGTAGCCTTCTCATTCACATTTAACTTTAGAATTTACCTTGATAATTTTTAGAAAACCTTGCATCACCCACACAAGAATACCTGAGGATTGTACATTTTCATTCTCAAAGAATTAAATTGGTTTAACATTCTCCCAACATTTTCCCTGAGTGTTTTAATGAAGCAAGGCAAATGATGAACTAGTCTAACCAGTATTTTCTATCTTCAGGCAGGTAAAGTGAGGAAACATGTAACTGAACAAGAAAAAACTGAAGAGGGATTAGGTCCTAATATAAAAAGCATTGTCACCATGTTGATGCTGATGCTATTGATGATGTTTGCAGTCCACTGTACTTGGGTCACAAGCAATGCCTACTCCAGTCCCAGTGTGGTCCTTGCCTCTTATAATCATGATGGGTAAGAAAGTAACTTGGCTACAAAAGGATTTTATACCTACTCTTTTTTTTTTTTTTTCTGTCTCAAAAGATAGAATGATGTTTGTGAGGCTCTGCATTTGAACCTACCACGTTTTTCTTTCAAACCCCACCCCCGCCCCCCCCTGCAACCCCGTACATCCTTCCACCCCAGCTTCTGCTTCACTTGGGTACTTAGACTTACAGAGTATCAGGCCCCTACTAAACCAGAATCTGCTCTTTTTTTTTAAGATAGCCAGGTGATTTGTGTGCATATCTAGCTCTTCATGGACATTTCCCGTCCTCTTGTTGAGGCTTTTAAAATATGAGATTGTTTAATGGTTCAGCGCCTCAAGATTTTAGATTACCCTCTTCACATTTAAGATCTTATTTACAAGAATATTGTGATTCTTTTCAGCACGAGGAATATCTTAGATGATTTTAGAGAAGCTTATTTTTGGCTAAGGCAAAATACAGATGAACATGCCCGAGTGATGTCTTGGTGGGATTATGGCTATCAGATAGCTGGAATGGCTAATAGAACTACTTTGGTGGATAACAACACCTGGAATAACAGCCACATAGCACTGGTAAGAATTTGATAAAAGATCAAAAATTCCAAATCCTTAGCAGTCAGGCTTCACTAGTGATTAAGTAGAGAATGTGGGTAAAAGTATTCTTTCCTGAATTCTCAAAATAACTCTTCACACATTTATTGAACAAAGCGAATTCCAGGTATGCTTATATATTTTGTTTTTTTTTTTTTTTTTTTTTTTTTTAATTTTTTTTTTTCAACGTTTTTATTTATTTATGGGACAGACAGAGACAGAGCATGAACGGGGGAGGGGCAGAGAGAGAGGGAGACACAGAATCGGAAACAGGCTCCAGGCTCCGAGCCATCAGCCCAGAGCCTGACACGGGGCTCGAACTCACGGACCGTGAGATCATGACCTGGCTGAAGTCGGACGCTTAACCGACTGCGCCACCCAGGCGCCCCTATATTTTGTTTTTAAGAATGGTATTTACTTGGGGTGCCTGGCTGCCTCAATCTATAGAGCAAGCGACTCTTGATCTCAGGGTCATGAAGTCAAGCCCCACATTGGGCATGGAGCCTACTTAAAAATTTTTTAAAACATGAAAACGAAATGGTATTTATCTAAGTTTCATTCAGAATTGTAGACTGAATTATTTGCAAGGATGTAAAGCCAAAGGTACTGCATTGTATGGGCATGTAAATTATGTCCATTCAAATAAGTAATTTGCATAAATTAAGGTAATCCCCTCTCTGGTTCTCTAAAGATTTTAAATAGATAATGGATGTTAACCAAATGAGTTCTATTTGTATTAGCATTGTAGCTAATCATTGGACATCCGGTAGACTGAGAAGAATATATTTGTACCAGCTAGATCGCTGGTCATCCCTGGCCTCGCACTTCTGAGAAACTGTATTTCTATTAAGCTCGCCTGCTTTTATATTAAAATATTAATTTCATGAAACTTAACTATTAGAACATGTATTCAGATTTTGACATTCCTGCTGTAATTGGCTCTGTTAAGTGAGGTGCTTATAAATCTTGGTAAATTTGTTGAATTCATAGCAGATCATTTCTTTAAAAAGAATTCCATGTAAATCAATGTACATTCCATTCAATGTACATTTTTATTTTTAAGTGTATTGTGGGACTAAATATATACCTTCTCATTTTTTATTCTATAGGTAGGAAAAGCTATGTCTTCAAACGAAACAGCAGCCTACAAAATCATGAGGAGTCTGGATGTAGATTATGTTTTGGTTATTTTTGGAGGAGTTATTGGCTATTCTGGTGATGACATCAACAAGTTTCTCTGGATGGTTAGGATAGCTGAAGGGGAACATCCAAAAGACATTCGGGTAAGAAACTAGATCATTGCATATGTGTGAAAGACAGCTTCCAGTGTCTCAAGTAATTTTCTCATGCTAATTGTATAATATTTGTTTTTGTCATCTTATGCCCCAAATTTGTCCCTCACTCTTACTTTACTATTTATTAAAAATGTACTATGAGCATTTTTCCAGGTTTAAAACTTTTGAAATTCACCCCTGGTACTTCTATTCTCCCCTACAAAACAGTCCTTTCTTAAGACTCTTGCTTTTTACTCTGTCACAGCCTCTCACTTCTGCCCCTTTTTTCCACTTCCATTGCTTCCACTCTGATACTAACCCTTATGATTGTAAACCCGAAATAGGATGGTAACCTTGAAATTGCTGTCTTTGCCTTAATCTTGCTTCCTCTCCCTATCTAACATGACATTGATCATGTCACTTTCCAGCTTAAAAGCCTTCAGTAGATTAAGGGCCTTGAAATCAGAGAGACATGAGTTGCAACGAAAACCCTGCACTGTCAGCTTGGTGCTATGGACCGCTTATTTTTGGCCAGTCAGCATTACATGCTTGAAGCGCTAGGTCTCATTCTTGGTTCTGGTGTTATAATGCTGATTAAGGTAGCCTAAGATTATCACTGATGGGGAGACCGGGAATAGTTAATTTGTGGTGCCCTTATGAAAATTTTGTGGTAACGTGGATGAAGCTCAGCCTAGTGGTTGGTATGAAATAATCTCTGTAATGAAGCAGTGGTATAAGATCCAAACTCCTTAGCTGGGAATGTAAACCCCTTAATGCTTCAGTTTCCTGTGCTGGCCTCTTATCCCTCTGCCGACTTTTTTCCATCTCAATCTACTCTAGCCCATGAAATTTGCCTTGTGGTTTCTTTCTTTGACTTCTACCTGTACTTACATACTCTTCTCTTTCTTGAATACTTTCCCCACCACATTTGTGTCCACTTTCCAGAAGCCCTTCTCTGGTGCATCTGGGTGTTTATTCATCATCAAATCACATGCAGCCTGTTCTTTTAGTAGATTTAAGCTATATCTCCCTCTCAGTTGTGAGCTCATAGAGGATTGGCACCCATCATTGTGGTTTACATGATGAAGGGACAAAAGATGAGAGTAAGATTCACCAGTGACCCAGAATAAAAGAACCTTTCGGGAAAGTGTGTATGTGTGTCAAATGACAGGGACAGAGTAAAGCGCTCGATTTTCTGTTCAAATGTAAATGCTCTGATGTTTTCCCTTCAATATGATTTTAAAACATTACTTCATTGTATTAATCTTAATTTTCCCGGTACATGATTTCATATGTGGATTTGCTTTTTAACAGTGTTAAAATTGTGACATATGATAGCTCCAGTTTCCATGCTTTTTAAATTTAGTGTTTTTGAAATTTGAGAATAGTTAATACATTCACATTGTTCAAAAAATAAAATATAAAGAGATACACAATAATAACCTAACCCCTCCTCCAAGAAAAGCAAAAGTCCATGGTAATCACTTATTATTTTCTTGTGATTCTTATTCAAGCAGGTAAGCAGTACCAAAATACATATCTTGTTTTTGCTTTTTTCACTTCGCAGATCTTGGAGATCTTCCCGTATTAGAACATGGAGAGCATTCTCCATTCCTTTATTGCATATTTGCACAGTGTGCTTTGTTGTGTGTGCGCACCATGATTCCTTTAACCTTTCCCTACTGGTGGACATTTAGGTTTTTTCCAGGTTATGTTAAATTTATAAATTAATCTTCTAATACCATGTTTTTTTCAGATGTAACTAAATACAGCTTTTCGAAGATTTCAAAAGCTGCCTCTATAAGGGGAAATAAAGGGGGAAACTGGTAGCTTTGAATCTGTTATACTGAACTGACAGAAATTTAATTTCTTTCTTATAGGAAAGTGACTATTTTACCCCACAAGGAGAATTCCGTGTAGACAAAGCAGGATCCCCCACGTTGTTGAATTGTCTTATGTATAAAATGTCGTACTACAGATTTGGAGAAATGCAGGTTGGTTATATCAGTTCTTACATAATCTTCTTCAAAGGAATAGTTTTAAAGTAGTCTTGTTTGTCTCTAGAAAACAGGATAATGAATGTTACAATTGTGCTGTGAAGAAAAATGTGCTTATCTATAGATTCCGTCTCCCCACCCCTTAAATTTAGATTTCTGAAACTATGAAAAGTTAGGGAGAGAATTTTTTAGAACAAAGATTTCTTTCCAACATATTAACACTAGGCTCAGATCCCACCTTTGCTTGCCATCTCACCTTTTGACCTCGTGCCTTTGGAAGACATTGTTCTACAGAGAAGTCTTCTAGGTAGGAAACCGTGTGATCTTGAGTAGGTTACTTTGCTGCTGGGTGGGGAATAGCCTGAAATTAAAGAGTTTAGTTACATAGTCATTTCAGATACTAGTTCTATCCCTGTTCTGTTATCATAACTAGTTAGGACTATCTGGGTGAGAGTTTCCTAGGATATTAGAATGATGTGGGTACAAAAGCTTAAGGGTCCATAAAATGAGTGAATGTGCAAAGAAACATGGTGGCAAAAAGAAAACACTGGACCTCCTGCCATAGTACCTCAGTTTCAGATTCCGCTCTGGCTGGACAAGTCACATTCCCTGGACTCATTTTTTTTCCTCGTCCGTATAATGGGAGTTGGACTGATGACTTGATTTGTGAGGTCTTTTATAGCTCTTAGATTGCATGACTGCAATGCCAAGTTACATCTTCATACTGAGATTTCAGTGAATACTGCCCAATTTCATATTGCTTTCTGATAAGCTGATGCTAGAAGGCAGAGGAAAAATTGCTTGTCGAACTTTATACAAATACCAGGAGTCAAGATAATTATTAGAATTATTCTATAGGTGGCTTTTGTTTTTCCATTCTCCTGGTTGTTTTTTTGTTTTTTGAAGTACAGTTGGCAACACAGTGTTACATTCGTTTCAGGGGTACAACATAGTGATTCCACAAGTTTAGTTGTTACACTCACCAATGTAGCTGCCATCTGCATACAGGGCTATTACACAGTACCAGTGATGATATTCTCTATATTCTGTAGGTGGCTCTGAGAAAATAGACAATTTTACTCCTGGATTTAGGGCTTTGTTTATGTTTTGATTTTTTTTTTTTTTTTTTTTTTTTTTT